TTCATCATCACTATCTTGTTTAATCTCTATTTCTGAAGTTGTAGGTACATAATCAATAAAATCAAAATCAGAATCTTCAGTTTTTATATCATTCTCATGATGTTCTACTTCTAATTCTTCAAAACCATCATCGAAACTTATTTTATCTCTAAAATAAAGTTTAAATTAATATATAAACAGTATAAAAAAAGAAAATATAAGGAAATACTAAAAATTATACTTTTTGCTAAAGTGATAGAAGATTTCTCCTTTTAAATAATCAGGATATTTTGTTAAATTGTCTTGGTCTGTTTGACTTAAATCAATATCAACATCTGATGAATAATAACACTGTTCAAAATCTTTCAAGTCATTGTATGGAAACTTTGGGACACCCAAAGAATAATTGTGTTTATTACACCAACCAACTGGAAAAACTTCATCTGAATAAACTGAGCGTAAATGAAGTAATTCTTGACGACTAAATTCATGGAACAAATAATTTATCATACATTTGTGCTAGATTTTTAATTTTCAAATATATTACCAACTCGTACGGTCAAAAGACAAAAACATCCAATGGTCAGCAAATCCTTTTACTGTAGCCACACGTATACAATCAGTATTCAAAGGATCAACAGCTTCAAGTTTCATACCTATATGAACGTTGTTAAACTTTTTTCTGCATGAATTATCTACAGAAGCAAATTTTGTTTCTTTTTCTATCAAATATTTTGACCAAGAAAATTTGTATGGTTTATTCCAATCAGTCGGAGTTTTCARCAAAAATTTGTGTTTGCTTGCCCATCCTAGAATTGTATTATAATAAATATGTATGAAGATAATTATATGGAAAGTATTTTTTCAAACCCGCATGAAATAAGTAAGGATTTTCTTTTGTAGCAACAAAACTGATACGTTTGTCTTTATCGATTTCATTATCCACTTCAACTTTAAAATAACGATTATCATAGATCTTAACAATTGTACCAACATAAAATACCATCATTGAATATGGATTTATTACTTCCAACATTTCTCCAATTTTATAACTATGTTGTTCTGGTGTCTTTGGCTGATAACAGAAAAACAAAGCATGAATATTTTACAATAAATAATTATTAAGAGTACAGGGTTTGGATTTTATACCTACCATTCATAAATTGTTCAAGGATAAAGATAAAAGTAGCAGAGTGAACTATAATTTTTTCTTATACACCAGAAACTCAATACACGAAACTTAATTGTGTGTTTTTTTTTTTGCTAATTTGCATAATATTACGTTTTATTACGTATTTCGCGAATCAATTTTTATATTAAACGGTATGAAAAATAGTGAATATCCACATTATTCATTATATTAAAGTCTATATAAAATAAGTATGGTCAATAGGCTTTTCGAACAATAAAAATAATTGCACTTTATCGGTTGTAAAGTTTGTAGAAATAGTAAAAAAATATTGAATGTTTAACTCAAAAAGTACAAATGAAACATGTTTTATCCATTCACCATTAGATTTAAAATGAATAATGATTTGACTCATTTTTAACTTTAATTTTAAAAAAATTAAAAATTTCCTATTATTAAAAAAAAAAAATCTTGCCGAATATAAATTGTTCACTCCACAAAACCTGAACATATAATACAATGCTCCTTGTGAGATGTTACTAGTACAATTAAAATAAAAGTTTATTATTGTTTTTGTGTTAAAAGTTTATGAAATTTTCCTATTTATATATTAGGTTGTAAAATATTTATTTTTTCTATCAATAACTAACAAAAACAAAGGAAAAGTAAATTAGTTTTTTCATAATCATTGACCTTTTTTTACCATTGGATATTCACACATATAATAATGATTTTACATGAAAAGATTTGTTTTTACAGTAATTCAACATGTGATTTAAACTTAACCACTTAATAATTGAAATTTTCAACAAATACTTATAATAATAGCTTTTAACATATATATGGTATTATTTTTGAAAATATTTAGATTTTGTATAGGCCTATTTTTTTTTCAATATTATACATAAATATTGATAAAAAGTGATTGTTTAGTCTCTCATAAGTTCTTATATTAAGTTCAAAAATATTAAAGATGGATAGAAACTTTTTTCATAACTATTTAGAGTTCATATTTTATTAATATCACAAAAATTTATAAATTATATCTCATGTAAAATGTATGGTTTTATATATATTTAGATTAAGTCAAAGATCATTCCCTAACTGCGATTTTTTAGAGGTAAATTGTGCCTTACATGATTTCAACTACTATGTCAAAGTATTTTTAAACTAATTCAGGCCATTGATTTTGAAGTATATTAATTTATGTTTATTGCAATTTAAAATTATAATGATTTAAAGCTAGGAATATTCTTATTGACATAATGATAATTAACTTAAATATTTAATTAACATAATATAATACCTTTAAAACATTCAGTAATACACTCGAATCGGTAGAATTTTCTAAACTAGCATCTAAATTCATAACTCTCCACGGAAGTCCTAAACATAGAACAAAACCGATTATGTAATAAGTTAAAAAATACTATATTTTAGTAAAATACCTTTCTGTTCAGCCCAACCTAATGGAAAAACGCGTTCATTTAAATAAAACAACCAAAATGGTTTCTCTTCAGGACTATTTATTCCTTGCATTTGTAAAAATAACCTTCCTCCCACATTTTTAAGCACCTTAAAGTAAAAGAATATACAATTAAAAACAATAAAATACAAAATGTTGWTAATGTTTAGTTTYRTAAAAATTCATTTAAGGCRGTAAMTATAAATAATATTWWAAAATATATTGTACTTTTGAAATCCAAACACGATAAGGGTATTCTTTATCTTGAACTTCTACAAACATGTCACACTTGAATATATTATGAATCGGAGCACCTCCCTGAAATATAAATGTATGTTATTTTTAAATTTTTTTTTTCTTTAAACAATTATAAAAATATACCATTTGTAATACWGCATCTGATATAACATGCTCACAATCTTGAACTTTTTCTCTAATAACTTTTGGTTTGTAACGTGAAAATCTTTCAGGATAAGGAGGTATCAGTTTTTTATTATTTTCRCTTCCCCAGTTTAAAGAATGAATGCGTGGTGACTTTACTTCCAACCAAAAGCTATGTTGATCATTGTCATCACCAAAATAATGCAATCTGAAACAAGATATTGTTACTAATGTATTTAATAATWTAAAAGTTTTTTTACATACTTCAYTAAAACGCCCTTTGATGAACATACAGTAGCAAACCAATATCCATTTTGATCTTCATTTTCAATTTCGACCACTGWGCCAATTTCTATTCCATTCATTTCACTCTTACAAACCTGTTAATACAATATTATATTTCAAACATATTATTTTATTACAAATTTACAATTTACTTCTTTTACCTTACATTTCATGGATTAGTACTTACATGGTAAAAAAAATCTTCAGGAACCTTTTCTGCATTTCTTACAGTAAGATATTTATTCCAATCAAATATTTTTTCTATAAAAATTAGTAAAAAAACATTTAAGCCATGCAAAATGTATGTTAAGAATACTTTGATTTGTTTATTATGCACTTTATATGGAACATATTTTTATTTTTGATTACTTTAATGGTGTATGATTACAAGAGATGGACTAAATAATGCATACAATAATTTGTTTTAAAGTCCTTATTGGGTTTTAATTACTTATAAGAACATAAAATGTGTTAGGCTTGTTTTTTTATATAAAAATTATAAAATGTTTATTGAGTAACAACTACTTAAACTCAATAATAGTAAAAAAAAACTATGATCATTTAAAGCCAATGCTTAGTAGACTTACCCTCAAGCAAATCGTCTGGTTTACTTGACTGATCCTCAGGCAAATTGTAAGGTGAGGTTGACTGACCTGGCAAATTTTTAGGTGAACATGACTTACCCTCGGGTAGATCTATAGGTGAACATGACTGACCCTTGGGCAAGTCTACAGGTGAACTTGACTGTCCCTCTGGCAGATCTTTAGGTGAACATAAATTACCCTCGGATAGATCTTTAGTTAAACATGACTGGCTCTCGGGCAAGTCTTCAGGTGAACATGACTGACCCTCAGGTAAGTGTTCAGGTAAACTTGACTGACCCTCAGGTACATCTTTAGGTAAACTTGACTGATCCTCAGGCAAATTGTCAGGTGTACTAGACGGAGATTCAGGCAAATTATCAGGTGAACTAGATGGACCCTCGGGCAAATTGTCAGGTGTACTTGACTGACACTCCATCAAATTGTCTGGGTTAGACAAACTCATGATATCGAGATTAGAAGATACCTTATAAGATAAACTAAAACACGAATTTAACGTTGTTTTGTAGGAACAATAATAGTAAAATTACAGTACATCGTACATGGGCACGATACACTGAATAAGGTAGTTTTTATTTAAAATGTTTCACACACGCACATGGAAACGGAAAAACTATGTTTTTTTTTGTATGATTTAGTTTGTTGTTTACATTAATGGCTGAATGCGCGAAAACAATATTATGTAGAATAAGGATTATGGATGCGGTTCATGCATTTAAGAAGATAATGGAAATGATAATAAGCAACGAAACGCGTTGTAATGGAGGCAAGGAAACGCTGGACACGGACGCCCGAGCGCATGACGCATTGGCGCAGCGTTATCTGTTCTGCCCCCCCTCCAAAATAAATAAATGTTATCACTGCAAAACGTTTACAGTAACGTTTCGCATCGACGCATCGGTTTATCAGAATGATTTATTTCGTTGTTGATGATTCCGATAATAATTTATTGCGGATTTGGACGATTTGGTGAATACCATTTTAGTCAATATTGTCTGTAATCACGTAGACTCAATGCAATACACGAACTAAAATATATATTAATACCTATAAATTAAAAACTAAATTTGATACGTGTAAATGTACAATAATTTTCTAGTAGCGTACTAACTATCGTTTGAAGTAACGTAGTTACTCTGTAAAGGTAGTCTACAGTAGTGTAAGTATCCGACTGTCGAAATTTGTTAATTATTTTGTAGTTAAAAATTGATTTAATTTCTAATATTCATACCAAAGTGTTGAATATTTAATGCAACAATGCAAGTTTCCTTATTTCCTCATAAGGTAATTTAAAAGAAGATCACAATTTCAAAAATATTGTTTGTTAACGTTTGAAGTTTGATTTTGATAACATTGGATATTTAAGTGTTAATTAACAGTTCACTATCAAACAGTTTTCTTATTTCATAAGAGTTTAAAAACGAATAAATGTAGATAGCAGTTGCGTCACCAATCAACTTTTTCAGTGTTATTGTATCTGACAATTTTATTTCGTGTGTATATCACGATTAAGGATACTACTATCTTTAAATGTGGGGGGCTGGTTATAGTGTTTGTGTGTGAAAATATTTTTGTATTTAGCCATCATAAATGTCTGTTTTTGACTTGTAGAGCTTTACTTATTTAAATAAAATATACTAGGAGGAGGCTCTATGCTCCACAATTCCTGCTTTGTATAGGTACTGTATAAATATATGACTGTGCAACATAATACAACATGATATATAGCTTTATCAGTTTTAGCTCAGAAACTTTCCTATATTTAATACATTATTCAAGACTGAAATGAAAAATATTTTTATTAAAATAAATAGCAATATATTATAGGTAGTGTATTTATAATTTAACCGCTGATTTTAAATCGAAAATTTATCCATGATTATTAGTTTATTAGACAAATTCCATTCAATATAAAATAGTTAATCAATCTTGATTAGAGGAAGTTTGAAGTCAATTTTAAATATTGCGTTTGATTTTGCATATTTTTAGATTTAATGTGTATCATTATGTTTATAATTCAACTACAAGCTAATTTTCAATAATTGAAAATTGTAGTCTCTGCACATTGTCASCTTGTCTATGTTTTGAACTTTAAAATACAGAGTATTCATTGTAAATAGATACTAAACTTGTAATGGTTGGCCTGTTAGTATTTAACATTTTTTCAATACCTAATAAAATATTTATTTTTTCCAATTTCTGTCACTGTTGCAGTTGCAATTGTACGCCTCAGGATGGTTTTCACCAAGAATTTAAGGATTGTGATGTTCGCCTGGGTTTTATCTTATATTAAAGTCGTTTATTAGATAAAATTAAGCAAAATACCATAATACAAACAACAAATTTGTGATTAAAAAATAGTTTTTTTTTTGAATAATTATCCTTTTAATATACTATTTATATATATATTTAATTAATTAATATAGTTACATACATAGGTAGGTACATAATTTTATTCTTTTATAAATACATACAGTAGAAACAATTTATAATATCATTCAAAAAACCAGTCAAAATTTATCATCATAATCAAAATTTAAAAACTTGATTTTAAATTTAAAAAAAAAAAATAAGAACATAATATTGTATTAATATATTCAATTATGACTTCAATAGTTCAATACACATGGAAAAAATAATAAAGTTGTTTTATTATTTTAAAATTATGTTTTCATTGCAATWTAAAATCTATTATGCTTTGTTTGTACCTTATGGCTTATATAATAATCATACCGTATTAAATTCTAGCGGATCAATGAATATATTGATTGTACAATAATGTGTAAAATTAGTTTTCGAAAAAATTGATTTTGTTTTTAGTCATAGGTATATGAAGCATGACATTTTTACTAAATATTTACATTAGCAATTTCTACGCACTAATATTGAGTTATTTTAAGGTATAAAAAAATTTCCAGTTTTATTTGTTTTTGTGAAAAACTATCAATAAAAAATATTGAATTTTTTATCATAAAATTTTAAAATATAACACAATATTCCTTATAAAAAAGTTGAGCGTAAATCCAAAATAATTTTTTTTACGATCTTTTGAAAGATACTATATGTTATACGTTCGATATTCACCTGTAAATTAAAAAAATTTCYTTCATTATTGTATATTGTATACAGTATATAYATTATACATGACATTTGTAAAATCAGTTTTTTTGATATTAGCCTAATATAGTAATATAATTGCTTTAATCAAATAATATCATATAATTTATATTTAATTAGTAATTTTATATGTTGACATATCATCTTCCTTCCTAATCGTTTTTCGTATTCAATGGTTATTAAATTTAAATTTAACACATCTGTATCAAARACTCTCAGTCAAMATTTTCAAACAAATTACCCAATAAATAATTTGAAGGTTAAAGTTTGTAACAGAACACTTCTTTATAAAAAATTATAATTATGTCATATAGTATAAAAATCTCAGGAATTTGAAAATACGGTCTTTAAGTAGGTATATTTCAAAATTTCAAAAATCAATTTAAATGAATTCATTATTAAGGGGAAAAATGGTGGTGAGCATTTTTAGTGAATCGCCCTATATGTCATATAAATAATATGTATTTAATTGGTGTGTTCTAAATTTGTTTTGGATTAAAAAAAATAATAATTTATATTAAATAATGATTTCTTATCTGAAAAAATGTACATGTTATGATCTATTTGCATTCTTACTTGAAGAATAGTGTTTTCAATTTTTCATATGATTATACATTTATGTTTGATAAGTTGACTTGTAAAGTCTATAAGAATTTAGAATTATAAATATAATATAATAATTAATCAATAAAAAAATCTATCAGTATTAAAATAATAAGTTAGTGACTTATTGTGTTTACTCCTATATTTATTAAGGCCATATAAATATAATTTTGTTAATTTTTATTAATTACTAAAGTATGATTTGTATAGAATTTAATATAATATAACAATATAAGAATGTGTAAATAAATTAAATAAACTTGAGAAGTAGGTAACTGCCCTTTGTAGGTAGGGTATAAATAATAATACATAAAATACCTATTAAAGTTTAGTTTATTATAAATGTAAATTTAAGATAATAATTATGATTCAATGTTTTCTGTTATTTAAAATATGCAAACAAATTTAGTAGTTCCTCGCATTTGTGAAATTTGTGAAATACTACTGAATATTTTATTTTTTTTTATTTTTTACAGTTGGCTTCCCTTTTTGAAATTCAAGTTGAATCATGATTTATACAAAGCTGTATATTATGCTTGAGTCTCAATTGAGTATGTATATCACATTAATCGGTCTGAATTTTTTTATTAAAACTGAATGAAAACATAAAATAACATTAACTACATTTTTTATTATACTGTTTTTAAAATTATTAAATTGTATGTGAACATACCACATCTGATTTAATTTATGCAAGACTAATTTAAATATGTGACATTTAAGCATTAACATAACACAACACTAGTATTGAGTTGATTTCAATATTATTTAAAACTAATGTCTAAATTAAAAAGTTGTGTACATTTAAAGAATAAGCTAACTAAATGTAGCAAAAAAACATTGACTATTGATATAATAATTACTGTAAAAACACAAAAATAAATTGAACAACAATATTCTTATAATGAATTTTATCAGTATAATAATAAACACGGTGATTATTATTACAAACCTCAAATATCTAAAAAAAAAATAAAGAATAACTGCGTACTTTCTAATTTTCTAAATTATTAAACTGATAAAATTCAAAGCTTATTTACCTATTTTACTTCACATAATTATTAAATATTTAAACTATATCCTATATAAGTTCATCTCTATAATTTACATTAAAAAAAGTAGGTATAGTTGAAAAACAGAAATTTGCATTTCCATATGGAACATTTCGTATTAATGGAAAACAATATGGGTGATAAATCACCTTGTATAAATAAATACGATTATAATCTACTGATTTGATAGTTTCAGATAGTTTATAAAATTTAATGTCGTGGTTGCATTTCTGGAAGCAATGTATTTATAGTTAGATTTATACAATCGAGTTTAATAAAAGCCATTCAGTAAAAGAATTTTTTTATTTTTAATCAAGAAAAATTGTTTTGTGATATTTTTTAATACATATTGCTTACATAATATGTCTTATTGTACCTTTTCTAAAAATTAAACTGTAAGTCTGTAACATTAAAATGTAACTGCGAAAGAAAAGGGTCATTCAACAAGAATGGATTACAAACATTAAAATTAATTTTGTAACTTGTATTATGGATTATTTGTTGTTTCGTATACATAATTACAGCCACACTTTTTCTCCACGTGTATATACCGGGTTTTGTTGACTTTAATCCTCTTTCGGAAAAAGTACTCAGGACATGTATTGCAAAACAGGAACAAAGACAGAGATATTAAGAACAGCGGTAGAAAACAAACAAATTCTCTCCCAYCATCGACGGTGTTGGATGAAGGAATCATTCCAATATTGATATCATGTTCCTGGTCCACTGTGTTATTTAACTTGTTCGTTTTATTTCTACTTGATACGCAGTTACCTAATGATCTCGCGAACGAAGCAAATGAATTACTCGAATCATGAAATAATGATTCATCACTAAAGGCAATTACAAATATCAAGAAAATTATAAATATTATTACACAACATAGTTTCAAGGCTATAAAAGGGCAACATAATATACACATTTTCACAAAAGAATAAAATTTTAAACTAGAAAAAATTTTTTAGCAATTATTAGGACGATAATGTATCTACAATAACTTGTAGTAAAAGGAAATATCTATAGCAACGACAATTAAAGTGTAAAAACCCATAAACACAATTTTATTGTTCCAAGTTCTTTAAAATAGTACGTTATTGCACCATTTTTTTTTTCGTATAGCGCCATGTCCGGGAGTAGGCCCGAAGGCCTAGTTCGGACGCCTGTTTGGCAGAATTTCTATTGCGCCATGTAATTGTCATTTTAGAAACTATTGATGTTAAATTAATAATAATATTATCAACATTCAACATTTATCTTAAATCACAAGTTCGATATAAAATTAAGTACCTACTTAATGTTAATAACTAACCATATTTCCGTAATACTGCAAGCATTAAAATCATATACCTAATGATTGAAAAACGATTGTCACAGTTTAAACATATTCAATATTATTATTATGTCCAAATAGATATACTTAATACATTGTTGTTCAATTTGACTATTGGTACATATATAATATATTTATAATATTACTTATGGTTATGTTAGGCATTTTTTTTCAATATGAAGAAGTTGAAAAACCTGCCTCACGATGTAATCTTTCATTATAAAAAAATCAAAGATGATCGAATGAGTGGTTTTTGAGAACATGCGCATGTGACAACGATTTCTATTTCACATTTATATATTACAATACTATACAATTATTCAAAATTTATTAAAAATACGTAAAAACATAATTATTTATTGGTAGGTACACCAATTTTACACAAAACATGTCTTAAGTAAATTAAATTAAATTCAAATAATATTCTTATCGTTATATTATTCTGACTTTTATGCATATACATTTTGTATAACATATACTGTCCCGTTGAATACTACATATATAATAGGTATAATAATATATTAATATATAATATAAATATATTTGCGCATTGTAGGACAAATTTAATTACCTATTTTAAAATTTTTTTTCTTGATCATAAGCCTGGTAATTATGGCCATTAGCTGTTTGTAGAGGGGAATTGTTGGTTTGAAACACGTAATGTATGTGTAGCAAGGATTTGTTGCTAAAAACCCGGGTGGTCACCCATCCGGGAGCTAGCAACATCAGCTGGTACGTACACTCAGAATTTTTAAGCAGTTGAGCGTACGACCACCAGTGACGTGCTTAAGGGGGGAGGGGTTCATGGGGTTCGAATTCTCCATGGTAAATATTTTATATTGTATAGTATAAGTGATATGTATATACCTATATTTTATATTATTAAATGGATCTATTAAAAAATATGAAATCACCCCCCTAGCAAAACCCTGAGCAAGCCTCTGACGTCCACGCCACATGAAGCCTCAATATACCAATTTAATCACCAAAAGAAACAATTTTTTACTTCTAAAATACAACATATTTATTAAAACAAATATATTTACTTAAGTTTATAAATAAAAAATATAACTTTAAGTTAATACAATTTTATTGACTTCGATTAAAAGGTACTTTAGTATTTTTTATTGAGTATATTATTATTTAATTATTAGGTAGTCTAAAAATAATAAAGTAAAAAATGATTAAGAAATAGAAATAAAATCAACGACGTAAATCAAATCGCAAAGAATATAATATTATTACTATACACATCGTACGATTCGTTTAGTATTTATATAAATGTATAATCAATTTATACTACCTACTCGTATATATGGTATTAATGGTATTATATTGTATAGGTAGGTATGTTCAAATTATTTCGTAAGATTGTAAGAACAAGACATAACACGCTGGTGATTGTTTTTAGCTAAAATTRGTTTACATTTGGAAGATAATCGCCTGCAACATTCCAACATTGACCATACTGTGGCTGGTAACCGTAGTACGTTGGCGGCGGTAGATATTGGGTACACGCAGGCACAGTGTAGAGTTTTGTTTCGTAGTCTGGTCCATACTCCAAGATTGCTTGTAAATGTCTTATGTACCGTATGGCCATCCTGTAGCACATAAATTATTAAATCGTATTTTTATTTTTTTACTATTATATAAATGGAGATTTGGTTTATAACCAGATATAAGGTTTGTAAGGTGTACCTATTATACCAGATGATCCATTAATAATGTAATTAAAATTCATTATTTCAAAAAATATAGAAGTTTTTGAATATATATTTTTATTTATTAAAATTATAAGTACGAACTACGTACTATACGTAGTTAATTGTTATTAGTTGAAGTTTTTTGGAAACAAAGTGCAGGCATTGCTAAGAAAATTGAATTGAATTCCTCTATGACTTGAAATACCTAAATGCACCCTTATAATCTAGGACCAATTATATATTTTTAATGAGGAGCATATAAAACAATTGTGCAATTGTGAAATTTGCATATAAAAATATACAATTTAAATTCTTTATACTCGTTCACATTATTATGATTATCTACTAAGTGTACACTGTTCCGAATGGATATATAAGTGTAGATTTACCTCTCATACTCTTAATGTTCTTGGCGTATACACAGTCAGTGTTAATGCAGCCCTATATCAAGAAGGTTATTCTATCAGCTTAAAACAACAAAAATAAAAACCCTTTCAGGTTATATATTCTTTTAAAYTGGAATAGACCTTTTTTTATTATTTAAATCTGTGCCGAATATCACTACATTATATGATGTTCCAGGTATTTATTAGTTTTTGGCGGCAATTAGACAAGTATTTAAGCCTTTAAAAGTTTAAAATATTTATAAATGATACTACCTATATTAATATTAAACTAACCTCAATGACTCGATTTTAGATAGTTTCTTCCCAGGTGGTTTACTCTTTGGCAAACGGTTTCTCAGCAAATCGAAAGCCTTGTTCATGTCTCGCATTCTAGTCCGTTCTCGGTCACAAGCTGATTTTTTATAGTCTGTGGACAACGTTATAAGTTTAATTATGCTTATATTAAATACGCATAAAAAAGTCGTTATGTTATTTCAGTGCGTCATGATTTGTTTTTGATTTTGAGTGGAACAACAATTGTGATTATTTACTTTGACAACTCGTGTTTGTTTTATGACTACTTTTTTTGGCAATAAAATTGATTCAATAAATTTATACAATTTTAGCATTAACACCTATACGGCTTTTGAATTGAATACAAAATAAATATAATTATAAATTATAAAAATTCAAAATTTTCAAAAATACATGATCACAAAATCTCGTTTTTTTTAGAAATTTAAGTACCCATGAATAAAATGATTAAATTACATAAATATAACTAAAATTGTTATTCTTGGTTATTTAATATGTAATTTCTAGTGTTCGGCAACGATATAATTTTCTGTATCGATATCGTTATTTCTACGATATCGATATCGTATCATAAATATAATTTTATGTTTACCTAAACAATTAAAAAAAACTTTTCGTATTCATTTAACTAAATATACTTAATATTACTAAGGAATTTACTTTATTAAGCTAATTAATATTTATTATTATTATATTTTATTATTATACATACTTATAAGTTATTACTTATTACTTAGTTATTTTTATTTATAATAAATTTGTTATACATTTTGTTACATTTGTTTTACAATTTTATATTTTATGTTAACCCTTTTTGACTTCTCCCAAATACCATGTATTTTTCTTGAAAAATATTATTTTCGATATCACGATATATCATACAATACAAAACGATATCGATGTCGGAAATTGTCACGATGTCGATATCGTATCGAATTATCGATATCATTGTCCATCATTAGTAATTTCATCATTTCATCCAAATTTGAACTTAAAATAATTATAAAAACAACTGCAGAGCTTGTATGATAGTTGATCTTTTTTGTTACAGAATTAACTACTTACGTGGAACCTTGTTTAAAATGTTTAATAATTAGCTATTAAAGTTGAACGTTTCGCTCATTTTTAACAACAAAAGAATTTGCAAATTTTCGATTAAATAAATATTGTCAAAATTAAAATTTTAAATGGTTATAAAATTAAAACATGCCTATGTATTTTTAATATTTTCCAATTGCTATTGTATAAAAATATAGGGAACCTTGTATTAAATTTTCAAGATTTTTGACCAAATGAATAAAATTGTAATTTACATCTATAGAAAAAAAAAACTAAAAWMATTGAAAATTTCGAACGTTTATAAATAACTTAAAAAGATTTTAAATTAAATAAATTGTTTTATTAAAAAAAACTTAGAAAGGTTTTTTCAATTATATAAAATGCAAGTATAAACATTCAGTGAAAATTTCATGTGCCTTCGGTATTTTGTTTTAGAGTTACATAAATATTAAAATTCGATTTTCTCAAAAAATCAAATTTGGGTAAAAATTCACATTTTTCCTTAATTTCCCGTTGCTTTTGAAAACTACTTGGTATTTCAAAATTTGACCTCCCAAATGCACCAACTAAATTCACTTTTCAACCGAAAAAGCTACTGAAGTTGAAAATTGAAGCATTATTTCGATAATTTATCGTGTATACAAAAACAAAAATAATACACACATTATTTAAAAATCAATACATTTATCGTTCCGCTCAGAAAAAATTATCCTGCTAGGTACTAAAATAGCTCAAAAATAGACGAAATAATGTTAAAGGTTTATTATGTATGGAAAATGGTCATATAAACAATATATTTTATGCATCTACCTACTAATATCTTGATTATTCGTTATTGAATTATACAAAAAACAAAATTGATTTTGTAGAAAACTGATTTTGCGTATATATCGACTATATCGTTGTAAAATTGTATCAATGAATTCATGACTCTATTTTTCCCTTTTATAGTTGTTATATTGGTAAGAATGGAGGAATTAAAAATCGTGTGTTTGCTCTGTCCATATTATAGGTGAATTCGGGGTAAAGTGTTTTATAAATGGTTGTATTGTTTAGTTGATTTTAAGTTTTTCAAAGACATGATTTAGGTAATATGGATGACTATTGTACGTGTGATTTTTAGGTTGCATAATGTCCTTGCGTTAGTTTAGTTATTGGTTAAATATTAATTCAGCAAATCATGKTATAAAATAAAGTTCTAATAGTTTCCGTTAGTTTTATCTTCGTTTAACTTTTTTCATTAATTTTTAATTTAAAATTTTATCTATTGTAGTCAAGTGCTCACAAAAATGTAATTAGTTGTTTAAAAAAAAAGATCTGAGAGGGAATATCCTTATACCTCACAGCTACTGTAATTGCCCAATGGTCCATAGTATTTGTGTTAGTTGTAAATTATGAGTATTATTCTATGTAATTATTCGTCCATTAACGCACGCACATGTCAACGGCTCCGCAGACCGGAAATGAAATTTTTTATCAAAATATGCTTTACAAGAAAAACTCTCATRCTTCGTAGAGGCTTGGTTTTATTGTAATCTTTTTGTTTTATTACAAAGAGTGGTTTCCTAAAGACCACTGGACTTCAATTTMTCAAAAATTTTAAAAACATAAGCTTGTGAATATTGGTCATATTAAAAATCATATTACACGGTTAAAGATAGAATTTTAAAAATCCAATGTCAGTTTTCAAGATTATTATCGGTGTAAAACTTAAGTCATGTATGTTTAATCTCGTTTTCGTCTAGGGACGGACTGGGCCRATTAGGGTCTACTGTCCTACAATTGTAAAAGGCTTGCACTCATTTATTTGCACCCAGAGAACTTATTCATAGCTACTGTATACAATTCTACACAATTTAACTGTTGCTTTGAATCCCAATATTTTACTCCTTTATACTGATGACATTTTATATTCTATAACAATCAACAATTTTAGAATTTGATAGTTTTATGAGGACGTCGCACCCGCGCGTGTGTTGTCTCCGTCTTACACACGTACTACGCATAGCAAATTTTCGTTAGACTGAATTTTATCCATTATTAAACTTTTAGGTAAGAACATTGTCTGTGTTATTTCGTCGGTTTTTAAATATATTTTAATTTTTAAATGAGTTACATGCATTTTCAAATATTTTTACTTTACATAGGTACCTACTCATAACTCATTAAATAATTGAAATATCGTAAAAAACCAACGAGAGATMACAGATAATGTTCTTACCTAGACTGTAACACGATTTCGCGTTGCATTTATTGTAGAGAAAAAGATAAGACGGGCGCAATCGTGTTGCGACTTTTGCATGTAAAATGGTAGGAAGGGCATAATCGTGTTTCACTGCTTACCTAAAAGTTTGATAATGGATCAATTCATTCTGATATCARAGCTAACAGCACACTATTGAAACTTGTGAACGAAAATTTGGTATGTAGTGCCTACGCGCGTGTGTGGGAAATGCCCGTTTCCACCAACAGTATATCTTTCCCTTTTCCACCAAACAAAATAATTCACCACGTGTTTACCAAAACAATTGTATACTACTGTATAATTATTATTATGGCATTATTGTAAATGGTCAGATATAAAAATGTGAAAAAAAAAACGATAAACGTAAAATATACATTGATTAAATTGTGTGTATGGTTATATATATATATATGCATTTTACATCAATCTGAAAGACTCGTGAAAAGTATAGGTATTCTACGATTGAAAAAATATCAACCAATTATATATTATATGAGTAGGCACAATATATACATAGCTAAATACACTAATATAACATTTTTTTTCAATCCAGCATTAGTATTTTAAATAAACTTATTACTGTATTAAAGGCTTTAATATAAGCGTGGTATACAAATTATTTTGGTAAATTAACCGTGGTTAAATTAGGTGGATCTCATTTGGTGGAAACGAGTATTGGTAGAAAAGGGAAAGGTGGTCTACTTACTTTTGGTGGAAACGTGTTACGCCCACGTATGTAATACAGAGACACATGTGGGTGTGACGTCCTCTTAAGACAATACACTACAGTACCATAGAATTAAAACCGATTTTATTGAAACACCAGTATAGCAATTTATCATTATAATAATTATCTATGAATAAAAAAAAAAGTTATATCATACGCAGTACGTACTCTATTATCTAATTCAGAAACCAGAAATCACAATTGATAGTAATATAGATTTTAGAAATGTAATCCTTTAGTTATAGCCACTTGGTGCTCATTGATGAAGAGGCGTTCCGTAGTACAAGGGCCTACTATCCTACTGGACAGCCCGCCCCTGTTCGGGTCTATAATTTATRACATTATTACAYCATGAATAAATAATATCGGTTTTATCCCTTCTATGACACGGTCATGCAAGTGAGTAATGCTTCTCCTTCTCGATGCCAAAAGTAGACTTTATAGTAAATTCAAGTATGTTTTCAAAATCATCGACAGAATAACACTCAAGTCAATACGTTGGGACGCGTATGATGGGTTTATTTTGCTCCTAGATACRGTAGCTTGGGATGCTCTTAATAATAATCGTTATAGATCAATTAGTACCAACCCCTTTCGGATTCATACGAGCGTACTCTTGAGCTGGGCTTGACCTCAGTCTGCATGTAAGAGTTTGCGCTGACGCCCGTCACTATTGGCGAGTACTGATGTTCGTCACGCGACATTCCGTAAACGGGTGGCGGTGGTACCACTGGACCGCCAATCTGTACACTGGTCAAGGGTGTATGGTGCTGGTAATCGTAACTCATTGACGGCAGCACGTTGTTGAGATTGCAAATGGTTGTCGAGTCTGACGAACTTTGGTCATAATGCACGGATGACGTGTTGATCGCCGAGACCACCGTGTCCACGAGCGGTTTGTTCACGTACACGGGCCGAGTGACGTTTTCCTAAATTGAAATAACAACAATATCACATCATTGGTGTATTCAGGAATTTTCCTAGGACTCGTTATTTCTATAGAGCTCKCCTGCCAGTGTTACCATTAGATTATATTACATAACTGTCAGTATTACAGGCAGGGCCGTATTTAAGATTTTGGCGCCCGTGGGCAACACAATTTTAGCGCCTTCCCACTTTGCATATAATTAAATTTAAAACTAGTTGGTGAGTAATACTACTAATACTAATAATAGGGATTTGTGTTATATGGATTTAGTATTTAGATAAATAAAATGTAAAAAAAAACAAGCAATTGCAATGGCCTGGTAAATATTATTAATATATTAAAAAATAACAGAATATAGGTAATATACTAATAAAATAAACATACTATTAAATACAATATAATATATAAAATCATTACTTTAGTTTTTTTTTCTTGCTAGGTTAAAAATAACAGAATATAATATGTAATATACTAATAAAATATAAAATAAACATAAAATATATAACATACTATTAAATACATTTTAATATTAATATATAAAACCATTACTTGAGTTTTTTTTTCTTKCTTGTTTTGCTGAAAATGATTTTATCAAGTCTGAGTAATTTAAGCTCTTTGTAAGAGTAGCTYCTATGTTAAGAAYTGHAAGAMTATTAAGTCTTTCTGAAGACATAKATGATCTTAAATMATTTTTTATTCTACGGAGTGTRGAAAAAGACCTTTCGGTTGAACAGTTGGAGGCCAAATTACAAAGKAACATTCTTAAAGCTACATCAACATATGGAAAAATTGTAACTAATTGTTTTTCTTTTATAAATTTACTCATGTCTAATAGTATTTTAGGAGGGTTGGCTAACCGTTAATACTGTGTCTATGGTTTTACCAGTGATATGGGAAATACAGGCGTATGGCTAAAAATAAATAATACCAGCCGTGACCGAGCTCGCCGCTCGGGAGTCGGAGGCCGAAGTAATATTCCGCGGTTGTAGATTGGGAAACAAATATTGTCAATTACTTGATATTTAATATTTTGTATTATAATATAATATTTTAATTATTAATATAATTTATAATTTTTCCGAAAACTTTTTTATAGTCTCCGTAAAATACATATTCCAGGGAGGGTTATTGCCCCTTCGAACCACCCCTTAAATACGGCCCTGATTACAGGTGTAGTTTTAAAACAACCTATCGATTCAACTACCAATTTTTACCTGTCGGCGCGCTGCAGTTACATTACTTAACTATGTTGATTAATCAAAAATTACATTGACAGTAAATATATATTAAAGTATTATTTATATAATGTTATATTATAATCGTGTACAAAATAAGACAATATTACACAATTACTCCAATATAGTATTTTATAATTAAGGAATAATTACTCTATTTATAATTTTTGAAGTAATCTACCTAATTTCTGTTAAAGCAATCAGTTTACTTTTAAGTTGATTTGAAAAAAAATCACTCTATTAGAATTTGTTAATTTACRTGTGAATATTCAATGTTTAACTTCAAACACTCAAAAAAATCTAATTGACTTTTCGATGCACTTTTTTGCTGTTATTAAATGTAGGAAAACTTATGTTTATACTTTATTGTCAAATCTTAGATATATAAAGAAAATGTTGGATGTATTTCTAACTCAAAATAATCCGCGAATTTTCGTTATTTTKACGACCTACGTAAAATTTTAACTTTAAATGCCTATAAATTATTATTATAAATTTACGCTCAACTTTTTATAATKTTCACTAAAAAAAACTTGTACGGAACCTTGTATCAAATTAAATTTTTCGACAGAGCAACAAATTTTGTTATCAACTATAGTTGATAAAAAAGATTAATAAAAATTGTATTAGTAAATTTACCGTAGATTGAATAAGGTATGACCGTATGGATCACATGTAAAGGAGGTGTTAAATTGGAATTCATTCATCTATATAAAATCATAGTACGCGAAAAAGGTTCTTTAGCCTATATTATACTAAGAAATTTTATGATTATATTGCTGTTAAAGTATTTATTTTACTATTAGTACTACAGTAGGACGAAACTTTTTTGTTAMAAAAACTGCATTAGAAAATGTGATTGTGTGTATGAAAGAGTTTCAAGTATCCACAAATAATATTTTAAATTTTAACAAAATAWCAATTAAATCGGTTTTCATTGTTAAAATATCGTTRGGTTATAATACGTACATGTACCTACTTATATCCTKATATGTATGAAGAGCGAAAACGTTTGTGATACATATTTTAGCTAATAATATAGCCATTTTATTAGGTTGAATACAACTCGAAGATAAACCATAAAGCAAAAAGTCGAACAACGCTTCAAATTGATGATATTCGTAATAAATTAATATGCTTATTAGTTATCAGTTATCATTAATACCTTTTTAATAGTTCTGTACTAATAGTCTGTAACGATTGGCGATTTCTGCTGACAAACRATAATACCTACACGTTTTAACTCAACTACCTATATCTATATATAGCAGGAAGTGTTGTAAAACATTTGAGTATTGGTATTTAAATACTTTTTTGTTTGTTTGAGTTTATTTGAAATAGGTAGGTAGGTATACTATTTTATTGCATTGAATATAAGTATCGTCTTTCTATTAAATACTTTTGTTCTGACTATCATTTATAAAATATGTTTGGGACTATATTATAAYATTAATTTTATATTACCTATACTGAATAACGATAACATAAATATTGTAGATTGTATTAAGTAGATTATGTACAGTCGAGTAGAATCTAATCAGTTCTGTCATTTTAGCTTTTCTGAAATAACATTTGAAAATGTTATTAGGTACCTAGGTACGTGTTTGAAATTGTATTGAATTTTCAAGCGTTAGATTCCAACAAAAAATATCTAAATAAAAATAGCTCAAAACGAATCAAAATATTTTGAAAGTTGTTTGGTGTAGCCGTGTAGGTTGTAGGYATATAAWACGTTAATATTAAATATATTCATTCAGTGAAAATTCCAAATATCTACGTTTATTAAACACTTCGTTTTTCCTTAATTTTTGTTTTGTTATCCCTAACGCTTTTGAAAACCACTGTAAATTTTGACTACTTGAATGCATCAAATATATTCACTTTTTCATCAGAAAAGTTACTGACATTGAAAATCGAAGTATTATTTCGACTATTTAACGTATTCACTGCAGTCGAGAATAAAATAATAAAAATACACCATCACTATAAAGCGATCATTCCGCTCAGATCTAAAACTTTATATATATATAATTTACTAGCTTACAAAAAAAATTGTATTTAAAATTTGACTCGAATATTTTTTAAATGTTTTTACAAAACTGATTGCAGGCGTAAAGAGTTAGGCTAAACAGTCGATCTCGAACGATTTTAAAGTTGATCCCCCTGTATTGTAAAAATTGATTAAGTGCTGATCTTGTATTCTTGTATGTCGACTATAAATACATGCGGTTTACAATCGTGTACGTATATCGCATATTAGAGCGGAAAAAAAATTAAATATACCTTACCTATCCAATATAGTATATTTAAGTAAGATTGCTGATTGTATACAATATTTCGATCGGTTGTCGATTCGTATATAGTACGTACGATTACGTGTTCATTATTATAATAAATATATAAATTGATTTTAGTTTGTAATTATTTATTTATTTATTATTATTATATTTATCATGCAATTAAAAGATTATTTTTTATTTGACTGTCGGCCAAAGCAAAAAWAGTGCCATTRCGTTTTCAAGGGGACTCGGCWTATTAGACACCGCCAAAAACATTTTACCTACCCCATATAAGTGCAGTAGTGAAATGGTAAACGCTAGAAAACGCGATAGATAAGGGGGGAGTGATTTTTCATCCTGTTCTTATTCGGTGCAAAAAAGAGGATGTCAAACCACGAGCAGTGCATGGCAGTTTTTTTACATCAATTATTTTTTTGACGTGCTAATA